AAAATTACAGTCCTTTAGCTTCTGAGGTACTCGAATTATCAGCTTGCCCGAAAAAAAATTTGGCGGGCCCGTACGCGGGCACCACGCTTACCGGGGGGCTGGGTTTGAGCTCACTAATACCCACTTGGACGGGGAACATTCTTTTAAGATTTCAGCGTTCTAGCTTCTCAGATCCGCGAGTTATGAACTTACCCGAAAAAAACTTTGGCGGGCTCGTACGTGGGTACCACGCGGGTAATGGCGCCAATTTTGGGCATTGGGTCCCGAACGTGTATGTAGATTAAGTTCCCAAAGTTTTAGCCCTGTAGCTTTTGTAGGTCCTGAGATGAAAAACCGTGACAGACGCACACACGGACACACAAACACACACAGACAACCTCTCGTCAATATGCGTTTTCGCATTGCACAGCTGCAAAAAACGCATAAAAACGACAAAAAAGCCTAAGTTCAAATAAGAAATAAGAGATCACGATAGCGACAAAGTATCTTTCCCGAAAATTAATGATGTTAGGCAGTAAATAACTCGTATCTTATGCGTGTATCGAAGTTTCATTACTCATATCATTCGCCATATAAAAAAGTAAACACTTTAATATAAGAATTTTCCAACCTGAACTCTTTCAATTACAGCACATCTACATGAACGTGGTTCAAGTTCGATAAATGAGAACGACCGATGGCGTTGCTTCTGCGGGCGAAATTTCGGCGGTTTTTGCGTTTCAATGTATATTTCGCTGCAAATAAGTAAAATTTAAGTTCGCGAAACAAAAACGAATGCGCGGGCAAGTTCTATCTTTCCACAGTACCATACAACAGGATGGAAATTTCTTCAGCTAATCCAGGTGCCACACAAATAAAAGTAAACTTACAACGCCTTTTTTTCGCCTCACATCCTAAAAAACAATTCAAAATAAATTTCGTAAAAAAATAGGGGTCCTCGAACAAACCTCTCTTGGGAGTTCATGCTTTCTGAGAGTGCTTTCGCTAAATTTATCTGCTCATCAAACAATGTTCGCGGCTCTTCTCTTATTCGACCGGGACGTTTTTTCGTTTCCAATTTTGGCTCCATTAATCTTGAATTAGCATAATGCTCACGATTACAGAATACCCCGCCTAAAAATGAAAAAGTTTCCCCCCCCCCTTCACCCCTCCTCCTCCGCCTGCGCCAATTTCTTGAAATATTTTACCGGAAGAAAACTAGCTGATTTAGTCAGAGCAAAATTTCAGATTGTTACACACCTGTAGATAAAAATAACACCAAATTAATACGTGTAAAATTGATATTACATTTTTAAAATAGCAAAAAAAACAGTTGTGATTACTTTGTGTGTGCGGTGCCATTCCTTTTTTTCACTTCAGCAACTTTTGTTTGCGTATCCATTAGCTGCAGAAGACTGCTGGCATTAACACTATGCTTCTGGCCGCAACGTTTCGCATGTGTTGCACGGAACTGTAAGAAAGCGAAAATACAGTGTAAAAGCAAAAGAATTACGTTTTTTGCTCCCACAAATTTTGCCCCGTGGCGTATTATTCTGTTCGATAAGACAGCTCTCGTTCCAGTGAGGTGTGTGCCGCGTTCGTATTGCGTTCTGAGCGGCTCTGTGCCCCTTATCGGAGCCCTCGGGCTCTGATACTGCTTGGCGACTACGTGTCCATGTGGATGCGAGGGTTTGAAATTCAATACAGATAGTGAAAACGTCTGGGATCGGATGAAATGTTGGCAGTGAAAAGCCAAATTCAGCGGATCTAGATCCGGGAGAAGGGAGGCTGGGAGAGGAGGAGGGGACATGAAGGGCTGCAGATCGTGATAACTGCTAATATGCAAGAAAATGAGGAAAACGAATCACATCGAGGGAAAGCAAAGAGATGAGGAACGCGCATACAGATAAATAACGAGTGAGGGCAGAAACATGCAACTCAGCACAAAACGCATAAAAATAATTGCTCCCAACCTGAGGAAAGATTTACAACGGCACTGTGCTCCTCCAGCTCATACGACCCTCGTAATGAACATAATCTTTTAAATTTCAAGAAAAAAGGTTGTTTGGGAAAGAGATCTTACTGGACCAGGGCCCAAAGGTTCACCACAAATTGGACAATCTATTGTGTTCTGCCATTTCTCCTGTTTCTTTTCGAGTGCTTTTTTTGCTTCTTGTTGATCCAAGCAATTGTTGATATGTAGCGCCTTTCTCAGTTCGTCCAAATGCTTAAGATCCTAAAAGAACATTTACACGGCCATTATTCCAAATACAAACAGCATAACGAGCGCCAAGACCACCAACAGTAGGCTTTTTAGTACAAATTTATGCCATTTTTAATCAAAAAGTGATACAGTTCCGAATATAAAACTTCAAAATTCATTATTTTAGAGCCAATTAATTTCAGTGTCGTAGTTATAGTGCTTCTTTCAAAGAATTGTGAGAATGATAAATA